ATATGTCAGAGACAGCAGTAGAAGACATTTTCTTCACTTATTTGATCAAAGTTTTCATATTGGAATTTTGTGAACAGATTTTGATTAAAATAATATCAGGTACTTAAGATATATGCAAATGATTAAAGATCACAAAAGCTTTGGGACTCTGCCATCCAGATTCACCTTGTAGGAGAGATGAGAGGCATAAAAATTTAATTAATCAAATTTGATATCGCAAAATAAATAAAAACCAACCCTGACAGTCAAATATTAACTTTCCAAATTCTGTGTTACATCTTTTTAGAAACATTAATAATTTTATTAAACATTGCATTATAGTTAAAAAGATTAAAATCTAATGCAAACTAAAAAATACTGCAGAAAACAAAAGTAGAAAAAATAGCAGTAAATAAATGATTTTCCCCTCATCACAAATTTAAATTATTTTAGTAACTTAGCACTTCTGTTAACATACAACAAATGATCTCTTCTTCCCATATCTCATCTCTTATCTATGAACAAGTCCAGATCATCAAAAATCCATTAAGAATTATCAGAGATAACGTATCTATTTTAAAACTGAACAGATAAATCTTTATATCCTTTTACTTTTAATAAATAAAATTTTGATCTTTAATCATGTAAGAACATGATTTCTTTTCCTTTTTCTTTATCCCTTCTCACAAAATTTTCAAAGCTTTAACAAGTTTCTTCTGTAAATCCAACGTGGGAAAATTATTCATGTCATTCTTTTGGTTTGTTTCTATATCCTTTTCAATTATTAAGACAATACCCAACTTCATGTGTTTATCCAGAGTATAGGTAGTCCTTGAGTTACGACCACAATTGAGCCCAAAATTTATGTTGCTAAGTGAAACATTTGTTAAGTGAGTTTGAACGTTTTACAACTTTTCTTGCCACAGTTAAGTGAATCATTGCATTTAATAACCAAATTATTTAGTTAATAACATGGTTGTTAAGTGAATTTGGATTCCCCATTGACTTTGCTTGGTTGCAAAAGCTGATCACATGACACCCCAAGACACTGCAATCATCATAAATAACTACTTGCCAAGCATCTGAATTTTGGTCATGTGACTATTGTGGATGCTGCAAGGTCATGTGAAAAATGGTCATTAAGTCACTTTTTTCAGTGCCACTGTAACTTTGAACGGTCACTAAATGAACTGTTGTACTATCTGTAGTTCTTTTTCTATATTATTCCAGTACCCTGTCATTTTTTAAATGACAGATCATTTTATATCAGTCTCAGTTTTGTCCAGTATAACTTGTTCCTCTTCTGTAGTAACTTTTAAATGCAATCTAGCTATTATGACAGATACTCTTAAAATTATTTTCTAGATCCATTGTACAAAAATATCCTCCAGTACTTTTAATATTAAAGGATTTTGTTCCATTCTTTATTAGTCAGATATAAATATTATTCTCCTTTAATTGTAATCTTGGTTTCTTCTGGTTTCTTCTAGTGTTCCACCTTCAAAGTCCCATGCTTTTAAAAAGAATTTTTGAATGAAAGAAACCATTTCCCCAAAGGAATAATTATTAGAATTCCAAACTCATTTTTCAAATCCATCTAGACTTACATGTGTAACATTCTAAAATCAATATATTAATAATCCTTTTGTTATTTTTTAAAGTTCTTAAACTTGTGTTTAAAATTTCTTTTGCTAAGGATTGAAGAAAACTCACCCGATGCTATAAACATAGCAATTTTAAAGATTCCTATTAGAAGAAAATCAATTTCCAAGAGTGATCAGAAAAGAAAGTACAAGTAGTCTTTGATTTATGATCACATAAATTTATGTTGCTAAGTGATTCTGGCCTCCCCCATTGACTTGCTTGTCGGAAAATCACAAAAGTTGATCACATGACTCGGATACTGCATCTGTCAGAAACATGAGTCAGTTGCCAAGTGTCCAAATTTTGATCATGTGATGGGGATGCTGCAGTGATCATATGAAAAATGGTCCTAAGTCACTTTTCTTTCAGTGCCATTGTAACTTTGCTTGAATTGTTGTAAGTTGAGGACTACCTGTATGCAAAACCAGTATCCCTAAAGGCACCAACTGTGATTATGTGTGAAAATGGCTTTTTCTTATGTCTTAAAGCTCTAAATCCATTGGAGACTGCTGATTTGCATTCTCAGAAGCAACTTTCTGGAGCACTTGTGTGTGGTCTCAAGTCCTCTCCTTATCTGGAAAATAATTATAAAGAGCTGTTCTACTTGCCAGGTGCCCATTCCGCTTTTATTGGCTCGCCTTCTAGCAGAGTGTCTTCGGTTTGCCTTTCCTTCCCCAGAAATCTGTTTACAACTGTTCCAGTGGTGGTATTCAATTTTTTTTACTACCGGTTCTATGGGTGTGGCTTGGTGGGCGTGGCAGGGGAAGGATACTGCAAAATCTCCATTTCCACTCCACTCCAGGGGAAGGATCCAGCTCCGTTCTCCTGTGCAGGGCAACAAAAGACCCAGATGATCAGCTGAGACTCGGGAGGCAGTGAATTGATGGGGGCAGGGCCAACCAGAGGTGGTATTTACCAGTTCTCCGAACTACTCAAAATTTCCGCTACCAGTTCTCCACAGCCTGTCAGAATTGGCTGAATACCACCTCTGTTCATTAATTTTTATCAATATTAAAACAAATTTAGATTGAGATTAGTTAGAGAAGCAAGATTATGATGCGCTAGTGAGTGGACATTACAATCAACAACTGGAATCTAAAGAGGTATTTTAAATATAGCAAACGGGCAAATTTGACTTTTTTTCCTTTGGAATATAGAAAACAAATTAGTTCAACTTGCGGATTCCTCATACTGCTCTGAAGTAGCAGAAACATTCTGAATTCTGGACCATGTAAAAAGTGATATAACCTACCTTACAATTTGGAAGTTTTCTTTTTAAAATTGTATCTGTAAATGTTAGCATTTTAGAAATTCAAAATTTATATATATCTGATGTTTTGGTAGGATAAAGAAGTGTCTTTATTATAGGATAAAAAGAAAAATCCTTCTGTTGCTCAAGAGATTCATAAAATATATTGTAATGATGCCAGACAGTATCTAATAAGGAATAAAATATCCTGTTTTCTGCAGTGCTTATGCTATCTTATCCCTTGGGGAAAAGAACCTCCAGAATTAGATCCCAGCCATCGTATACATTACAACATGGATGAAAAAATAATTGGCTTGTTTTTAGCATTGTGGGGCCACCCTATCATTATTGTAGCAGAATGGAAAATACTTACATAAAAATAAGAGAATTTTCCAGAAACCCCACAATCCTTTCCACTTCTATATTTTTATTCCTGATGTACGATTGCTCTCCCATTATACTTGTAGCTTGTTTCATTTGGAAACAGCTTAAAAAGAAAGTAACCTTGAAGAAGATTAAAAGGTTTAATAAGAATCCTATCAAGAAATATTCTTATCTCAAGGGACTGAAAGCAAAACAGTTTGTTTGCTTATGTTATAAAAGCTGGAAACTATAATAGCTGCAGGTAGCATAAATCAGACATATTTACCCCCATTGTTTAATAGAAGGCAGGCTGAATAAAAAAAAAGTATTTCTTAAAGAAAATAAATTGAAAAACGTTGTTGAAAGTTGCTTCTTATTCATATATTTTAGTGAGGAATATAAATCAGTATTTCTATTAGGACTGCAATCGCTTACTTTCACATAAGAACTATCAGTAAAAAAAGATTGTAATAATTTTAGATGAATATCCAGCTTCTTGGATCTAAAGAAATTCTTCAATTATTTTTGAGGAGGCCGAAATAAGGAGGCAGTTCTGTCTTTCAAAGAGAAGTCCTTGTTGTTGAAATATGGAATAACCTTTAAAATAATTATATTTAATGTTAATAGACTATTACTGAAATACACTGAAGCAAACCTAAGACACAGCAGTGCATAGCATAAGTGTTCTATAAAGGTAATAACGCAGTATCTTTCAGTAATTGAGCAGTTTAGTTTCACTTAATAAATCGAGAGTAGGCCCTTTCTGGCCATATTTGGTTAAAAAAAAAACGGATGGAATTTTTGGTGGACAGCTTATAACAAAGTTGCCATAAGAAATGGGACATTGGAAAAGTGGCAAAAATGAAGCAAAACAGAAAAATAACACATTTATAGCATACAGCATATTTGTTCCATAGTAATAGCCTGTGGCAGATAAATCCTAGAATCACTGGAGTTCAAAATAACATTCAAAATAAGATCAGACACTTCAAAGCTGAGGCTTATTCCACATTGAAGTACATTGGTTCGCATTTTCTACCTCATTTTTGTCAAAAAAAATTATATGTGATTTTATTTTAAAAGATTTACATAGCACTAAATAAACTTACTAATTCCAAGTTTTTCCATTTCTATGTTTGACAATCTTTTTGTTTCAATTAAAACTCAGTATTTATATACTGAATTATGCTGATATTCTGAAATTATGGTCACAAAAAATAAAAGCATGTATTATATTTTGTACCTCTTGAGTTTAATTAAGGTTCATGTTCCAATTGATCTTAAGGGGGATAGCTGATTTCAGCAACTTTTTCTTCTAGTACCTAGAACAGAAATCTTCATGGCATCTCAGTATTTTAATATAGATCTGTCAAATTAGGTATTTTATTCCTAGACCTCATGTCTGTTTCTTTTACATCTTTCTTTTGCTCTATTTTACTTAAATTTCATTTTATATTGCTACTTACATTTGCTTTCAATAATCATTATGTTAATAGTTTTATTATAAAATGCTTTTACTGTCCTTTTATAAAACAGACTATCTTATATCTTATACTGACTGCAATTGGAACATAATATTCTGTTTTTAACAACTTCTGGGGATCTAGGAATCTTTGCCACAGAAAGTGAAATACCTCAGAGGGAAAACCTGTCCTCATTTAGCTGACTTAAATCAATACCACTTGACAACTGGCTAAGTCCTACATAGTAGGTTAGCTTTCCTCAGAATAATTGAAATATATTTCACTGCTCTAGTTTTGAAGCAACAAAACTGATAAGCATCAGTTTTAACTTTACTAAATATTAACTTATCAAAGAGATACTCCATGTTTTATGCCACAAACACTATTATGTAAATCATGTAGTTTTTGCACAATTTTTATTGAAAATCCTTTCCATAAAAGACTCCTGTGCAGAATATTTATCATATATCAGGTAAATAGTCAAATACTAAAGAATGTAATCCCTGAAAGCAAGTAAGCCAGGTAAAAACCAAAAAACATAAAACTTGTGCTATCAAAAAGGAAACCACAACCTAAGAGGTACAAGGCACTTAATATAGTATAAGTGCCTGCATAACTCTTTGTACATCTTAGGGTGGGGTTTCTTTTTGATAGGACAAGTATCTAATAATGACAAGTGTCTGTATAAACTGTAAATAGCATTTTAGAGTGCAGTAATTATAAGACCGCAGGTGAAGATGCATACAAAGATAGTTCAGCACTGGCCTATTCTTGCTACTCAGACATTGGAAGAGTCATTTTGAGATTACTAGCAAATAGTTGTGGCATGCTAGAACACTCTCAAAAGCAGCATTATGACTGTTATATAACCAGCAGACTTTCCCTCTAAAACTACACTTTCCTAATCTTTGATGCAAGGCAAGTATCTTTGAAGCCAAGGAGAAAATGGCTATAAAATAGGAACAATCAAGTAACAGCTATGATATATCTGGTCATTTATTAAAAGCATGTCCTCAAGAGTCAGCTCTCTGTACTAACAACAAAAAAAGAGAAATTCAAATTGTCCAGAAATGAGAGTGCTTGCTGTGCCAACTTTTAGGAAATGGATGATCAGAATATTAAGCTAGTTCCCACTGTTCTGAGTCTTCAGGAATTATGGCACAAGATTTTTCTGTGTCAACTAGTGTTCATAAGAAGTCAGCACAAGAGGATCCAATTTTTACTCAAGAAATAACATGACAAAATTACAGATCTATAATGGGGAAGACACATTTGCTATAAATCCAGATATGAAAAGAGCTCTGTTGTTTGTCTATACAGATGTAACAATTAGGACTCCCATTGCTCTACTGGCCATAAGAATCCATATATCTCTTCACAGATTTTTCAAATAATTCATTTAGTTGCAATTTTCTGCATCTTTAAATTCTTCTGCCTATTTTACATGCAGTCCATTGAATTTTCAGGTTGCAGGCCTACAGAAGGGATCAATCCTTTGATGTAGGCACAGTTAGAAGATAGGAAACCATCAGGCTCTGGCTCTACATTTTCAATATTGTCCATCTGATCTTTAGGACCATCCCAATTGATGTGGAAACGGGTGACTCGGGGATTGGAGGCCAGAATATTCCTCTGCAACTAGAAAAGCAGTAGAAAAATAATTAGCATTATGTAGAATAATATAATTATAAACGTGGGATCCTTGGTACTCTCTGAGCTTGGTGATTTTTTTCTTGTAGGCATTTCATTACCAAACTAAGTAATATCATCTGTGCTACTGTGCTGATTTGATAATGAAACATCTTCAAGAAAGCCACCAAGCTTAGAGAGCACCAAGGACTTCCACAGAGCTACAAATATTTTCATATATTTATAAATAGAAATAGAAATACTAATAGAAACTGATTATGAATAATTCGTACTACTCTACAGTATTTCATCAAAGTAATCTCTATGCAAGAGACCTGCATGTTTTGCACATTAATTCAGTCCTCTGTTCTGAATGTTTTACTCCATCCCAACAAGTCAATTTGCTTTAAATGTTTTTGTCAGATATATCCTTTCCTCAATTAAATTACCAAGTTCCTTTACTTTAAGATGATCAGTAATACTTGATATTAACTTTGAGATTTAAATCTTAATATTCACCAAGCAAAATCATTTAATCACACACAAAATTATTTCCTATAGCTCAAAAAATACCAAGGTTCATTCTGTATCGTAAGGACTATAGATTTTTCTGCATCCTATTCAAGACATAGTGACTTGTCTAGGAATATAGTAAACTGATACTGAGCTGAAATCATTGTAACCACCTCTGACCCAATTCTGGGATCCTAATTTGTATAACAGCGTCTCTATTCACCAGTACTACATAACTGCTGATTTCAAGAATTACTGATCTGTTACAGCTGCTATTTGGAGACTGCCTGCATTTTATTTTCTTCAAAACATGCTCTGTCTTAATAAGACCTACATACTATCAAACCTCTTGTGTTTGTAACCTTTAACATGGTGAAAAAGTTCATCATACAGCAAAACTCTTCTCAACAAGGATTCCTGAAATGTGCTAACTTAGAGGATAGTGATTTCTTACTTCCAAGGGAATGAAATTTGGGGAAGTTGTGGCTGCTTCAGCATTGCTGCTGCTGCAATCATATAATCCTCATTTCTGTGAGTTTCCAGCAACTTGGGCAATGCCTTACTTCCTCCCCCATGCAGCAGCAGCCACTTCGCTGTCTGCTGGGAAGGCAGGGAAGGAGGAACAAAAGGAACAAAGAGGAAGGAAGGAAGGAAGAGGGAGGGAGGAGAGAAAGGAAGGAGGAAAGGATGGAAGGAAGATTTCCAATGCTTACTGACAGCTTCCCACAACAGGTAAGCCAACAAGCCGTTAGTCCAGCTGTGATCATTCTGTTTTTCTTTTTAGATAAGGAAACCTCTCTGAAACTATATGATCCTCATTTACAAAGGTCCCAATACTCTGAAAATGTGGAAGGCTGGGAAGGTTGCAGGGCAAACATCAATGGGGATGTGTCCACAGCTGATGGCAGGAGCATAGTAGAGAGTTTGGTCTTAACAATTTTCTTTCTGGGAAGCTTGCAAATAGCTCAGGTAAGTCTCCCCAACTCCTGCAGACTCCACCAGTCCCTTTGCACTTGCATTGCATCACTTAGTCTTGACCCATGGATCACGGATTGTCTAGTTCACTATACTTGTCTATACAGATATACAAATAACTATTATCATATAAAAGGGCCATTGTACAACTATATAAGCAAAACAAATTATAATTTCCCACCTGACTCCTCATATTTCAGAAAATTATACCAGCCAATTTTCCTTCACCTAATTTCTAGGGAGTGGGTACTGTAATTTAGATAAGGGGTTGTGTTAAACTGAAAAAAATACAATGGGTTTGTTCTTACTAGTGTCTCACCTGGGAAAAGTCTGGCTTGAGAGGTGGGTTCTCCCTTAATTCAGGATTTGTATATTCATTATTCACATAATACCCAATGCGGATAAACTCCTGACAAAGATAGGTGCAAGTAATGAGTATTACTGTAACTCCCACAGCATCGCCTTCAGGGATTAGATCAGGCTTGGGACTATTTGCCTAAGGAAGAAATGGAAAACATATTGATCATATTTGTATCTTGCTGTTCTCCCAAATATAAAGCATAATGGATTCTCCATTTTATTAACAGTAAGCCATACATTACCCAAAAAAACCCAACAGTTCCTAGGTTGAAAGAAGATTTAAATCCATTTCTAAATGGATTTCAAATCAAATATTGTATTCAACACCTTTCACTGGATTTTAGCACAAAGGAAGCAAAACAGATCTCTGGTCTAATTTAGCACTGTCGACATTGCAGCAGTTTTCTATGGTGTTAGATCAGAATCTTTTCCAGCCCTTATTCTGAGATATTGGGAGTTGATCTCAGAACTTCTCCATACAGAGCATGCACTGAATTGCTTAGCTATGATTGAATGAATATGTAATTTGGGACATATTCATCTAGAACAGGGACCCCCAACCCCTGCTGGTCTGTGAAGCCAGAAAGGTTGGGAGCTCTGATCTAGAAGAACATTACTACTAGAAATATTAAAAGAAATTAATTTTCAAATATTTGTAGATTTGTAGAATATTTTCATCCCACTTTTCTACTTAAAAAGCATTGCAAGTGATTAGACTTCTTTCTCTACTCATGCTGTGTCCCTCCTTTCTTTTTCCAAATTAAAAAAAAAAATAGAACTTACTTCAAACACAAACATATGTCTCCCAGCTGGAACAGGTCCTACTAGTACAGAATCAAGAATTTGATCATATCTCTCACTTTCTGCAGATCCCACATAAATGATCTTCCATTCCAAATCTGAAAAATTAAAACGGATATAATTGCAAGAATATAAATGCTGCAATACTAAATCACTGAGAGAAATACACTATCCTTCACTCTTGCAAAGCGAAAATATTGATACAAGTCACTGAATTAATACATTTGGGGATGTTATACATCTGTGCAAGAACAAGACTGATGTTGCTCTTATTGACTTCAGTAAGGCATTTGATAATTAACCTATCCATATTTTTCGCACTATAAGACACACTGGACCATAAGACGCACATTATCTTTAGAGGAGGAAAAGAAGAAAAAAAATATCTGCCTCTGCCTTCCAGCATCCATCTGTATTCATCTAGCTAGTGTCCTTGCAGTGAACAGCCTGGTCAGCTTCAGCATATTATCACAGCCCCAGCACGTGGCTCGTCAACGCTCCGCTCCGTTGCGCCCACTATCGGTCAACTGAGCTGAGCTGCCACTGCCAGGGAACACTGGAGCCTTCGCTGCTGATTGGCAGTTGGATCGGCTTCCTGGAATACTGCCAATCAGCTGTTCTAGGCAGCAGAGGTTGCCGCTGCTGCCTATTGCCGCTGCCACCATTTGCCCAAACTATTTTCAGGAGCTGAGGCAAATGACAGGAGCTTATCCCATCCTGCAGCAGCAACTGGGTCTCGAACGCTAGCCTACCAATTATCACACCAGCGTCTTAACCACACGAGCCATAATGGTCTTTCTCTTCAAGGTTGTTTACAAGTGAACTACATGGTATTAACTGATGCTGAACTACATGACATTAACTTCATAGTTACATATAAATAGAATCACATAAGAATATCAGCAATGCAAAACAGGGAATATTATCATGTTCCTTACTCTTTTTCTGTGGCACTTCCTAGGCTTCTTTACAAGAGGAAAGTCAAACACTTAATAAGTCATGCTATAGCAAAAGACTGATTCCCAATTTCTTCTTCCAAAGAAGGCTATAATTGGATAAAGTGCTTTGTGTTTCTATGTAAGCAAATCAGTAGTATAAGTTAGAGGATGTCTTGTATTATTATTATTATTTTTTTGGGGGGGGGGAGGTAAAGAAAATAGCAACTCCTCAAAATTATTCTGAATCATAGCGTAAATGAAAATTCTATGAAATAATCAATAGGAAGTAGAAGCCAAGAGGATCAAATTTAAATTTATCAGTCCAAGATACAGAATTAGACTGATAGAAAAAGAGACATCATGCCCACGTGTCTTTCCTGATTCTATCTCCTGTAACAGATTGTAAATTTAGATTTAGGCCAGACAATCATCTTGATGTTACTAAGAAAACCACTACCAATTTGTTCTATGTGCAGCAATGGATTTGTTAGTTCATTTCCCACTTGAAGCTAAGTAGTTAAGTAGACTTGCCCCTTTAAGAATTGTACATGCATCTATGACAGGAGGAATAAAAGAAAAAATAATAAATGCTAAACAGCAGTGGAATTAACTCACCCCAGAGTGTAATGTGCAGATGCATTTATTTGACAATTTAAAGTTGGGGGTGGGGGGTGAGTTGCCTTGCATGAATGGGCTAATACAACTGTCAAAAATCGTAGAATAGAATAGTGCATAAAGCTTTTAATGAGCTGATAGTAAAAGCTTTTGTAAGCTCTGTAAATTAATCCAACAGTAAACAGAATACTATTTCTGACTGATAAAATGATCTGAAAGCTTTTCTGCACTAATAAGCCCCAAGCAACATTCAACTGAAATCTGAAAGAATTCATGATTATTACAGTACTCTGAAAGTCCATCTAGCCTACAAACAAAAACACACGGTTTATTATATTCTGAAGCCAGAAAAGCCCTCCGTTTTTCCTATGGCAGTACTGTAAGCTTTGTGTGAACATCCACAGCACGAATGTCTCTTAGGAATCCCACCAGGTCAATACTTTTCCTTCCCTACCCCCATCAAATAGAGAAAAGGGTGTTTGTTGTTGTTTTGTTAACAGTATGGAAAACTTGCTATTAATTCTTGGAGGCAGAAGCATTTGAAATTATTTTTGTGAAGAGATTGGGCTAAAGTTATCAGACTACAATCACGATTCCAACGATTCCTCCTCCTCCCACCAACAGTAGGTATTTAGTTTCAATCTAAACCCACTTCTTTCCCAATAACTCAACGCTCCGCTTTTTGGTCCCCAAAGCCACTTTGTAAAAAAAAAAAAAAAAGGGAGAGAGAGAGAGAGAGAGAGAGAGGCCGGACAGCTATGGAACGAGAGTATAGCCAGGGTCCATTTAGTAATTCATTCTTTTGGCCGAACATCCTAGGAACCAAGTCTTCCCGCTGTTAGGCATCTCTGCTCCTAGAAACGCGGCCCGTTGGAGGGAGAGACTTCGCGTGCCGGTCCTAACCCAACGCCCGATACTCACCGTGGGGCAACGCCTCTCCGCACTCGAACTGCACCTGGAAGCGGAGCGGCTGGTCAAACGGGCTGGGATTCTCCAGCAGCGAAACTCCCAAGACCGACACCCGCGCCATGACAGGCTGGCTGGCTTCTTTGCTGTTCTGTCCCGCCCCTTTCGGGCTCCTTTTCCAAACCCGCTCCGCGCGCCACCGGCTCAACGTCCCAGTTGCGCCACAGCCAATCCTCTCACTTCGCGCCTGAGCTAATCCGCCTTCCTCCTCCCACAGGAGCCACGCCCACCTTCCCCGCCGCCAATCGCCTTTCTCTTTCTGCTCCCGGCGGGAGCTCAGTCTAAAACCGTCTTCGGCTCGGTTTTCCCGCTCTCGGGTCTTAGGCCCGCGCATAGCGGGCGGGCGCTGCGTCTGTTTTGAGCGCTCAAACGCTAGTAGCTAATTGGCGCTTTCAGTTCTGTGGTAAGGGGCCAAACCAAAGAGGATGTGAGCCCGCTGACTCGAAACTTCGCCTAATGCACGGCCTTCCTTTGCTGTACTCTGGTCTAGAGTGAAGAGTCCTAGATGAAGGGACTCAAGCATTCATACACAGCTTTTGGAGCAAGACTTCTTACCGGCCTTGCGGAGTATGGAGGGGTGGGTATTAGTGTGTGGGGACAAGCCCGGGAATAAAGTGAAAGCAAACGGCCAAGTACAAAAGAACACCATGCAGGCCATTAGGTCCAGTCCCCCCGAAATAGATATCTCAGTATTTATTCTCTCCCGCAGAATCTAGTTTTACAGCCATGAACTAAACTAAATTTAATCCCAAAGGTGCGTTTTCAAGAGGAAACTGGACTTTCTGTTTTTTCTTCGAAGACGTTTTGCTTCTCATCCAAGAAGCTTCTTCAGCTCTGACTGGATGTTGGGGAATGGAAGGATTTATACTCCTTGCAGACATAGAGAGTTGAGGTTTATCTGTGTTCTCGGGGTCACCTGAGTGGTGCAAATTGGTGCGGAGCCACCTTGGAACTGTTGGAAGGACTGTGTTGTAGATTGGAGATAGATGATGTATCCCTCACCCTATATTGCGAGAGGGCTGTTCAGTTTTGACACAGATCCTTCCATTCCCCACCATCCGGTTAGAGCTGAAGAAGCTTCTTGGATGAGAAGTGAAACGTCTTCAAAGAAAAACCAGAAAGTCCAGTTGCCTCTTGAAAAAGCACCTTTGGGACAACCATGACCTGGATGATTGAGAATCTCCATTTAGACCAACTAAATTTTAATTCATTGAAAACTAACGCCAGCAGGCACTGTAGCACTTACAATGAATCAATTGGCTTAAAATTAGAAAGATGGGCTAATGTTGTGAAATAAGTGTGGGGAAGCCAAAAGGATCAGGTGAATCAAATTTGATTTCTAAACACAACATTGCAAGTAACAAAAAATTTTCTATTCAGTTCTGTTGCATTGGAGTGGGAAGTTTGAGGAATACAAAATACAGCTGAACAGCTAAAGGATGTAATGCTGATGTGGATACTCCTTTGCTGTTATCTTATTTGAAGATGAAATGTGTATTTCAAAGAAGGTTAAAATTAATGCTAGAGATGGTGGTTGGAAGAGCATTTGTTCCTTTTGTAAGGATTTCGGGATTTAAAATTAAACTGTAATAACCAAGCCAGTCAGACTCTTGTCCTATTGGGCACTGTGCCTTAAGGAAGAATTTCTTCAGAACTGAGAAGGATATAAATGGGATTGTGTGACTTTAATAAACTAGAAGAAGCAATTGATCATGACACTTGGATTATTTGTGTTACTCAAATGACAAAAGTCATTTGTTGCAGAGACTGGTGTCCAAAATCTTAGTGACAGAGCAACTGACTATCTAGAATATTTAGTGACAAAGTGGGAAAGCTGAAGTGCTGAAAGACAATCCATTTCATTTCCATCCAGTCAGCCTTCTAAGTGAGGGGTCCTTGGTGCTCTCTGAACTTGCTTGTTTTCTTACAGACATTTCATTACCCAAACTAGGTAACATCATCAGTGCTACCCCTTATTTCAACCCTGAGCTACAAATATTTTCCTTTATTGGAGCCGTCTAAGTATTTCAGTAAACTATACCAAGTATTTTAGCAAACTGAACAGCCTTGTATAGGGTTTTGTCTGAGAAGCAATCTAGTTCAATTTAGGACAATGTTAGGCCTAGTGCTGTACTATGGAGTACATTTAGTGCTATGCTATGGAGCAGAAACATTCTTAACATCCAAGAGATACACTGTATGTCCTTTAATTGACTGGAAAAGCAGCTTTTGATTCAATTCCTAGAGACAGCCTCTGGGCACAACTGATCTCCTCATTTACTGATAGAAAGTTTAACTTCTGATCATAAAATATAATGATTTTTTTAAAATGCAAATTAGATGTGTACCAATCCCCTCTCAAAAGGGAGTAAATCAAAGCTACACACTTTTTCCCATTTATTCAATTTTATATGTTTTATGATCTGAAAAAGTGAATTCCAGCTTCCAATACTGTATATGGATGCTGGGGCTATCTTCTCTGCAACAAGCCACCAAGCTCTAGCTTTATTGTGGGTGGAAAAAATGTTAATTATTCCAAAACAAAGGTTTAGCCAAAAGCCAGACTAGTCATACCTGCTGTTGGGAAATAAATAAAATTTATATGGAATAAGCCAAGATCTTCAAATACCTGAGAATTATTTTTTAATCCCTTGCTTCCTCAAGGGAACACACTAATTTGCTACTAGCAAGCCCCATAAGGTTGCTAATTTATTTTAAATTTTGCTGGCAGCAGAGGTAGTAATTATGTCTTTACCACTATACAGCAACTGTAAAACTAGCATAATGAACTTCCTGCTTTATGTGTCACAATTTTGTACTTTCCAGGATTTAAGTTTTGCAAAACTCCAATTCAAAATTTTAAGAACTATACTTCCAGCTCCTTACCAGAAGTGCCGAAATGGGCCTGTTTTTCGGCCTCCAAAGGCTGCAGAGGCTTCCCTTGAGCCCCTGGGAGGGTGAAAACGGCCACCTCTGGGCTTCAGAGGCCCTCTGGAGGCTGAAAACGGTCATTTCCGGTATTTCTGGAAGGCCCGTTTTTCCCTTGAGCCTCTGGGAGAGCGAAAACTGCCTCAAACAGGCCGAAAATCAGCTGGGAGGCGCGCACATGCGCAGTGCAGGTACATTTGGCTGGGGCTCGCGTGCCCACACAAATGGCTCTGCATGCCCGCACAAATGGCTCTGTATGCCACCTGTGGCACACATAGAGGTTCGCCATCACAGCTTTAGCACAAAGCATTAATTTAGATGATATTGCAGCAAAAGCTGCTGCTCTTTCTGTTTTTTTATTTTCTTCTTTCCACTTTTCTACTATTGAACTTTAGGCTTTTTCTTCTCTGATCTGCCTCTTGTCAGGAATAATTTGTTCTACTTCTTTTACCTTCATGTTCTTGAATCTGTACTTACTATCTGGAAACAATTGTTGGCTTCCCTCTCTGATAGCCTTTGGTAGGCTCCCTACATGTATCCCATTGTGGCTAAAGTTATTTCTTTATCATCTTGCTTGTCCACTCCCATGGTCATGTAGGCAAAGAGGGACAAAGAGCAGGGTTGCACTACAAATTTTGAAATGTTGTTGTGTCCCTGATGCAACTCTGTTTGCTCAGCAAGTTGCCAACAGTTGTGGGTATATGCAAAATTTAATCCACATCCAGCCTTAATAGCTTTCAGATGTATGAACCATTCCAGAATTTACAAATTTATTTCATGGACTTGTCACCTTGCAAGGGATATTAATGAATGTAATATGTACATTTTTAATGAATGTAATATGTACATTTTCAAAATGCCCTGAAGCCTTTCTTACCTCCAAGATTAATACAACAGCATTAGCAAATTATTTACTAAAAAGGTTGTTCCAATATTTGATAGTCATTCCATATAATTAATGACAGTGGTCCACATTTTATGGGTTAACTTTTTTCAATGCATATCTAAAGCTTTGAATACTGAGCAGTTCTATACCCTTTACCATCAGGATCTAGTGAGGAGGTAAAATGATTTAATGGATGGTTGAAAACCCTTCTAGCCAAATTCCATGTTGAATTGGAGGTAATTTGAGTGGATGGGTGACTACGTGCCATTCTATATCCATACAGTCACCATAACCAGAAATCCGATTTGACCTATTTTAAGATTTCATTTGAGAGACCTCTGCCAATAGATGGACTCATCCTATTGCTTATATCTCTGCACTTTGCGGTGGTGGATTGTAAAGAAACTAATCTGCAGACCTTTTTCAGCCTTCTAGAAGTGCAGAGAAGCCCAGCTGGTATTTTTCAATAATCATTCAATCTGAGGATTAGATCCTCCTCAATAGGATCTACAAGGATAAGACTTAATCTGGAATCAAGTGGGGAAGGTCCATATCTTGTCCTATTTACCACTGAAACTGCAATAAAAGTGCAAAGGAGAGAAGCCTAGTACCCAGGTGACAAAGACAACAGTGCCAGTGGAAGAGGAGCACCACAATTTTGATACCAATAGTTCAACTCCAGAATAAGTGACCCAGGCACTAGGGGAAAAGAAAACCAAGCATGGATCAGAGAACCATGTGAAAAATGCAGCATTATATATAGATTTTTCTGTCCATACACACTTATTCATAAAGTTTCTAAGTAATGCACAATTATTATCTGTACTAATCTTATATATCACAGACTATTTACTGTTTATTGCTATTTTAAGTGTATTGTTCATTGCATTGATATAATATACTACTTGTATGTATGTATGTATGTATGTATGTAAGTATGTCATGGTTCCAGGACTGACGTTAAGATCTGGTCCCACTGGGCGTTGTGCCTACAGATTCATCAATGCAGCCCCTTCCTTCATCAATACTGATATCTCTTCAGGTCTTTGCTCAGCCAGCACTGATACCTTTTTGACCAACATGGTGCCAAGAAATGGGAAATCATCCAGCCTTATGGAATCCTATGCCCCTTCTGAATAAGTGGCAAACTGCCGATACTTCAGGCAAAATTAGTATCTCATTATTGCAACTACTGAACAAGAAAAGTTTCAGCTGTGCGGGCTCAATGGCTGAGGATTTAAGCCATGCATTGAATTCCTTCCATTGCTTGAAGCATCTTTGG